ATCCATGGATCCCATCTCCTGTCACCCGAGGAGCCCCTTTCCCACAGCCCAACCAGAGACAAACGTGCTGTGATCCAGGAACTGGCCAAACTGGGGGCTTTAGGAGCCCATCGTGCCCTCCCCCAGTGAGGTGGCCGTGCTGGTTCCCCTGGGGATGGTTTCCTGGTGCTCCCAGAGCTACCCAGGATCACAGTCTGGCTCGCTGGGCTCCCAGGGGCTCCTTGCCCAGGTTTCTCCCAACATCCCCCTGCGTGTGCACAAATATCCATGGAATAACACAAACACGGATCTACAGACAGGTCAATCCTACCAGGACAGACACCCTGTGGATGTGGACAGATTCCAATCTCTGCACAGAGGGAGGAGGGATAGCAGAACCTGGGCCGAGTCCTCATTGCTTTGGACACGGAGCTGAGCAAGCCCAGGGGCTTAAATGGACAGGTGGAGTCAGGAAATCCATTTTCACAGTCAACAGATCCTGCTCCAGCCCCGGGAGATGGGAAGCTCAGACTCAGAAGGACATTTATTCCTGGTTTACCTATAAAATCAGCAGAGCCAGGTAAGGAACCCCCCGGACTCCGGATCTGTCCCGAACTGCAAACCCCGACACACCAAGCAGGAGGAATGTTCTGTGGCTCAGGATCACCTCGTGGCTGGTGTGAAGGACAGTCCCAGGGAGTGATGAGGTAATTCTGAGCTCCAGTCCCAAACGAGGAGGGATCATCCAGCGGCACCAAAGCCACGGAGCTCGTGCATCTCTACAGCTCTGACCAACCACCGGTGACACACCTGAGCACAGACTGGGCACAGGCAGTCAAATTCATCCAGCAAGATAACGAGTGCTTGGAGCTGCTCACAGGACACGCCCAAGGATATTGTTATTAAAGCTCTCCCTGGCGTTCAGAGTCGAAGCAAGAGCTGAGGAATGCCAAGTTCGGAATCTGCAGCGAAAGGCACAGACAGACACGTCCTCTCGGAGCCATCCCAGGGGTTATTGCTGCCAGCAGCCCTGTGTCCCTGTCCAGGGGGAATTACTGCTCCCAAACCACAGCATTCTGAGCACACCAGGCGGGGAGAGCTGACCCCGACTGGTCACTTGGGGGAGCCCCGATTGGGACACGACCCAACGCAAAGATCATTTCTCTGACTGAGGAGGGGGATGAAAACAGGTCGAAGCCAGAAGGATGAGCAAACTGTGCCTGCTGTGGACATTTCCCCCTCAGCTCCTGATCCCAAATGGATCTGCTCATAATTGGTCATGGTGGAACCAACAGGACCAGGCTGGAGGAGCCCCATGGCCTCCCCGGGACCGGAGCCCAGCCGTGGTGTCCAACAGACAAATGATCTCTCAGCTCTCACAGATCAGTTCTGGGGGCTGCAAGAATGCCCAGAGAGACCCTGATTTTCAGCAGAACTCTAGCACCAATCCTGGGAAAATTAAGACTTGAATGTGTCTCCAGCCAGGAACTCAAACCCGCTCACCACGTGTGAGAGCCCTGGCTCAGAGGGGGTCGATCCCCGCACACCAAGCAGCGGAACCAAAGCACAGCGTGAGATTTTTCCCTCCCCAGTGCAACGTAACTTGAAATTATTTCTTTTAAATTACAAGGAGTGAGTGAAGACTTCCAGAAAGACCACGGCAGCACCTGCTTCCCGAGGAATTGCAGCTGGAGAATCCCCAGCCCTGCCAGCAGCACACGAGTGGCCCACAGCCCCAGCACAGCCCCTGGGACCCTCCAGTACCCCCCTTTTCCCGGGATTCCAGCAAGGCAAACCCCCCATTTTCCCCCAGAGCAGAGCTGAGCAGTGCTGGGGCACACAGGGATGAGGTGGTGCCGCAGGAACCGCGCCGCCGGACACCGACCTGGTCGGACAGCGACCCAGCCGGACACACTGACCCGGCCGGACACACTGACCCAGCCAGACACACTGACCCGGTTGGACACACTGACCCAGCCAGACACACTGACCTGGTCAGACACACTGACCCAGCCAGACACACTGACCTGGCCGGACACACTGACCTGGCCGGACACACTGACCTGGTCAGACACACTGACCCGGTTGGACACACTGACCTGGCCGGACACTGACCCGGCCGGGCACACTGACCCAGTCAGACACACTGACCCGG